AACCCGGAAAAAAAACTATAGAGATTAAGGAAAACATAGGCTACAGTATTCCTATCTACTGCACTGATTTATCGAATTATGGTATACTGTTTAAAGTCACTATTTGTATTGCCTGTATTTCTCAGCACTGTTGATGTCTCTGCGATGTTGTTCCTTAAGTGTTTTAGGTCTTTACTTCCCTTGAGGTATTACAGACGGTATACATAGTATTTATTCTTAAGAGGCAGCCTAACTTGTCACATCATCATTTATACAAGTATAAGGGAAATAGATTGTAGCTGGATATTCCTTCTTTTCCTTGTTCTTATGTATCCTTTTGAGGACTTGTTCGTTCAATATTTCTATTAGCCTATCAATTTTATCTGAAAGTTGTTCTAGATAGGATGGTGAGCACAGTTCAGCTACTTATTTCTATAGGATAGCTATCCAAGAGAGTGACTGAGATTGTAATCTTTAGCATTCCCAAGGAACTACACAGGAATTTCTAAGTGACAAGAGCCATTAATCTTTATTGCCTTCTGAAAGTCCATAAATCAAACATAACACTCCGATCGCGACCCATCGAATGCAGTTTTATCAGCCATTCTTCTCTCGGTCGGTACGTGTTGCGCAAAAATAAAGTACATATTAATGGGAAAAACAGAACAGCGTGTTAAAAGCACTGGAGATTACATTAACGAAATTAAGTGAATCCAACTAGATCCAGAGAAATCCTGATGAATTTTGATGTTAAAAATTTCAAACAAAGAAGCTTTGGAAAAAAAACAAAAGTGTGTACCACTTGACCTGTCTTCTCCTTTAGGGACCAGTTTTATGAATAAAATAAAGGAGCAGATTCGTTCTTACCCTTATCCCCGACCCTATTTACATGAAAACCTTCGAAAACAAAGCCTTAGAGTCAGTAACAGGTTCAAATATATTGACGATATATTTATTTATCATCAGATTACATAGGTGCAACAATATAAAAAGATTTCTGAACCAAATGAATAGAATACATTCGGGGTACTGCTTCATCATGGTGTTGGAAAGACAGTACCCTTCCATTCTTAGCTGTCCCTGCTAAGAGGAAACTGGATGGCACTCTAGGATACAGCGTTTAGAGAGTGTTAACTCACACAGATAGATATCCAGATCCGATCTAGAAGGTCAACACGTTAGCCAGTAGTGCCACCTGTAAGTCAGAATGAACTTTCAAATAAAATGAATATACTAATAGAAATATCGAACAAAATATGAGAATGATTCAATACAAGGATTATCTGATAACTTATATACAAAGATGTATAAATAATATATACAGCTTCTTAAACAAAAGTAATATTAATGCTGTCTATAACACCTTACGGTAAATAGCATGTTAAAAAAACAACTATGTGTTACTATATTAAATTACCTTAGAGGCTATTAATTTAAAATTTTATCTAAATCGTATTAATAAAACAACACATGTCTGTCATATCAAAATCATTAAATAATATTTCAAAGCTTTGAAAGAATGAAGTCATGTTCTTGCTGCTAACTATGATTGATTACTCTGAACAAAGATCAATACAAACTTCAACCACAATACATGAATTAAGTACTGCATTTTATGGATTGCTTTTTGAAATGACACTACTTTAAAATATTGGATTAATAGATATTTGAAGGAAAACAGCTGAAACATTTTGACGGCTTATCTAGATTAATACTTGTACAACTTGATTTCAGGTGAATTAAAAAATAAATAAATAAAATTTGTTTGAAATAGCTCAATACTTTTAAAGTAGTTTACTAGTACAAGGGCTGATAATAAAAAATGTGTATTTCTGAAATATGTATTGTTCAAATATCAGGAGTCCCAAAATTCACGCAAGATTTGAATTTTGCACCATTTGTGCGATAAACTGTTGCCAACAAAAAAAGAAATAGTGACAGCTGACACTTCAGGTTTATTAAAAATGGAGCGCTACACGAAAGAATAACGCGTTTTCATTGTTGAGCAACATTTTAAAAATAATGAAGTGTGGCAGTTACAGTTCGCAATTTTCGTACAAAACATGGTCGGAATAGTGATTTAACTTCATCCACTATGAAGAGATTAATTGAAAAATTCAGGGAGACTGGATCAATTAATGATCTTAAACACTTCGATTTCAACGTTCAACACAAAACATCGAAGTAGTTCCTGAGAGTGTTGCTGAGAGTCCAGGAACATCAACTCGGCCCTGTGGTCAAGAATTGGACATTTCGGGAAGCTCTCTACAACGTATTCTCACGAAAGATTTGCTTACAAAGTTCAATTGACCTAAGAACTATAGCCAACTGACCACGCAAAGCGAAGAATTCGTTAAATGGATTATGGAACAAGTAGATGCTGATTTTTGGAACAAAGTCATCTTCAGCGATGAGGCTCATTTTCATCTTGATAGCTTCGTTAATCGACAAACTGTCGCATTTGGGTTTCAGAAAATCCACTAGTAATTGTTAAGAAACAAATGCATTCACAACGTAGCACTGTTTGCTGCGGATTTTTAACTGGATGTATCATCAGACCGTTCTTCTTCGGAAATGCTGCTAGTCAGGCAATAATAATTTATAGTGTTCGTTATCGCGACATGATAATTCAGTTTTTTGTACATAAATTGCAAGATATGGATGTAGACGACAGGTGGTTTCAACAAGACGGTGCCACTTGCCATATAGCCCGAGAAACAATTCAATTAATGCATGAGTCATTTTGTGGTCGTGTAATTTCCCGTTTTGGTCAGAATTGGCCGCCCAGATCATGCGATTTAACGCCGTTGGACATTTTTTATTGGGTTTTTTTGAAATCTAATGTTTATGCCAACAAACCCACCACCAACCACGCCTTGAAGGAGGAAATTCAGCGCTGTAACAACGAAATGCAGCCTCATCTATGCAAAACGGTCACGGAAAATTTCGACAAAAAGTTCGTATGCGTCATGGAGGCCATTTACCCGAAATGCTATTCCATAAATCAATAAAATATTTGCAATTTTAATTAAAACCAGTGTTTTCTATCAAAATTACTTCTTGAGTGAATTTTGAGGTACTTTTTATAAACGTTAAACATAAATTCCAGTACGTAATTTTTATTTCTACAATTACATATACAGTTTTATATTCTTGAAAATACAGCTTAATAATTTATATTCACACGTCAACCTGATTTATTTCAAAAGCACTGACGTAAACACAGTGCACAACATGAACTTAATGAGCTGGCGTTTAATTTAAATAATCTCGTGCCGTAACTAACGGTTCAGTCGATTTAATTGCCGCGTTTCTTACATAAATTTTAGAAATATTTATGGAGTGAGGTCTACATTTAAACTGTGTCCTTAGAAATCGTAAATAAGTGTTCAAAGGATTTGAAGGCATAGCGTGCCTGAGCGGATAAAACAAATGAAATCTGTGCATGCAGCGGCTATTAGCTGGGTCTGTTTGTAAACATGTTAATAAATAATACAAATTATGTCTGTTTCAGGGATATTTCCTTCATGTAAATCAATTTTTAAAGACTTTGATATTATAAAAAAATATAATCCCCAAAGATCCAATTAGGGACCTCAGTCTTTCAATGGTTTCCCCCTCTCTCTATCATTTTAAAACTATGCATATGTAGTGTGTTAGAAGTTGAACAACTATTACTTCAGTGTAAGATAGATTTAGCATAAATTAACAAAAAAATTGTATGTGCATGTGCGAAACCCTTAATCTTTATTAAGGTATTAATCTAATTAAAAAAATCCTATCAAATGAAGTCAAACAACATTCTTCGATACCAAAAATCTAGTTATAGACTTTTTTTTTTGGAGTCATTTGCGCTCCCGCGTACAATGTATTTCCTCTTCGTAATGATACGAGACGAAGAACAGCTGGGTCGTTTGTCGGTTGTCGCACCTATGACACACTGATGAGGACTAACTAGTCAGAAACCGGTCTGTGCCTGGTGGGTTAAACTGACGAACGATCCTAGCTGTTGCACTAGGTGTTGCGAGTATAATTCAATGCCGGTAGGGGCATATAGCCCTCGGAGTAGTTGTTTCTCGCACCATTGACAATTAAAACATTCTGTTACGCCCTCTGTGGGTGGTAGTTGTGCAACAAAATACCTGCAGTATAGCAGGTCGCTTCCTACTGTAGCCATTTGAATGGCACAGTTGGGAGTCAGCACGACAGATGGAGCCATTTGCGCTCCCGCGTACAATAGACTCTTTTAGTGTGACGTCATATTTAGGCAAACCGCAACAAATTGTCATAGTTGAAATTGTACGGACCGAACCTGACTTGTGTATTATTTACATAGTTACTATTCATAGATATTATTCATAGATACTATTCATAGATCAATTCGTTTTTTAAGTTTTGCTCGAAAAGCAGGTCTTTTCCGAAAAACTTAAGACAGTAGTATTTTGTACAAAATTCAAAGACGAATCCGAAAATATCATGATTGTTACTGTAAAGCAGTGGCGTACTATCTTATTTAGAAAAATATGCCAAAAGTATGGAAAATTCCTTGAATTTCCATGGCAGCAGGTTACCATGGAATGTTCAAGTAAAATTCGTGTAACATTTATGTAATATTAAATACAACCTGTACAATATATATTGATTATACATGAATTTTACTTGAACATTCCATGGCAGCAGGTTACCATGGAAAGATCAAGGAATTTTACTATACTTTTTATTACAGTGTGTATTTCCGTCATTGGAGCATGTAACTGTTAGAAATAGGCCTCAGATTTTGGACAGTGGTTATAGAAATATATGTGCCCAATTTCAAATTATTTCACTTACTAGTTTTTAAATTATGTAAAAATTTGAAATATATTTTTAAATTTAACACCCTGTATCTTTTTAACGAAGCGCCCTAGATAAAAATTTTATACGAAAGGCTCCCCTTAAAATTCACCAAAGAATATGAGGTTTCATTTTTGGTCACCATTTGTGAATCACCCTGTATACTAAAATGTTTTTGAATTTTTCAGATATGCCAGATTTTGGGCTGCTTTCCAGCAAAACTGTGACAGAAGTCCTCATGTTGGAAATGAAGATGTCTCCTAATGCCAGGACGTACCTTGTGTCGGGATATCCTAGAAATATGAGGGACGTTGTAGAGTATTCTGAAAAGGTAAAAAAGCATAACTTATGCGATGATAACAATTTGAAAATATTGTCGCGCATAAAACGTAGTTTTGACCAAATTCATTTTAACTGGTTGGTCAAACTGTAGTAGTACACTTGCCTCTGCATATAAAGTAATGTTGTTGCTGTCACATGATGATTTGTCACTTACGAACTCAAATTTTTATTTATATGGTCCGTATACAGGGTGAGTCTGTTTTTTGTAGACAAACTTTAACAGGAGATAGAACACATGTTTTTAAAAAGAAAAGTTCCTATAAACATATGTCGTAGAAGGCTTCGTTTCCGAGATACGGGGTGTTGAATATAATTTTTTTTCTCGAATATTCATTATAACTTATAAACAAATGCTTAGATTTTTTTCATGTTTGGGGGATAATGCCTATTAATTAAGGGGCATAAAACAAGCGATAAAAATGTTCAAAAACTTGCACAGTGGCGGAGTGGAGGGGGTGCTCAACCACTTTCTTAAACAGAACGTCTACGCCAATGACTATTTAAAAAAAAACTATTATTTTCACTATCTACATACAGTTTAACAAAAATAATGTCCTTTCTTCTGTTTCTAAATTCCTGTGCGTTTCCGAGTTATTTTGATTTTTATTGTTTGTTGTGGTACTAAATTAAGTAATTTATTTATTATCAATTATCGGCTAAATATTTAATTCTTTCAACGAAACCTACCTAAATATGGTTTGTTACGGATTTTAAAAAGCCGAAATCTCTTATTCTTTATCTCTTTCCAATGTAGTCAAAATAAATATTTGTTATATCAAGCTATACTCAAATACAAGACTTTTATAAGTTGAAATCTGTTACATTACATACATACAATACATTATTGTGCAGTTGCCAAAAAGTTTTAAGAAGTTGTTAATTAAATATTGTTATAAATTCAAAAAATTTCTCCATAAACATTAACATCAATGTTCATTCAATGTTTTTTTTTTTTAATTTAGTTGCAGTACATTAGTATTTACGCAGCACATAATAAATAAGGATTGTTAAAATTAGTGTACTAAACAGATTTCAACTTATAAAAGTCTTGTATTTGAGTATGGCTTGATATAACAAACATTTATTTTGACTACATTGGAAAGAGATAAAGAATAAGAGATTTCGGCTTTTTAGAATCCTTAACAAACCATATTTAGGTAGGTTTCGTTGAAAGAATTAAATATTTAGCCGATAATTGATAATAAATAAATTACTTAATTTAGTACCACAACAAACACTAAAAATCAAAATAACTCGGAAACGCACAGGAATTTCGAAACAGAAGAAGGGACATTATTTTTGTTAAACTGTATGTAGATAATGAAAATAACAGTTTTTTTAAAAAATAATCATTGGCGTAGAAGTTCTGTTTAAGAAAGTGGTTGAGCACCCCCTCCACTCCGCCACTGTGCATGTTTTTGAACATTTTTATCGCTTGTTTTATGCCCCTTAATTAATAGGCATTATCCCCCAAACATGAAAAAAATCTAAGCATTCGTTTATAAGTTATAATGAATATTCGAGAAAAAAAATTATATTCAACACCCCGTATCTCGGAAACGAAGCCTTCTATGACATATGTTTATAGGAACTTTTCTTTTTAAAAACATGTGTTCTATCTCCTGTTAAAGTTTGTCTACAAAAAACTGACTCACCCTGTATAAATATCAGTAAATGTTATGAAATTTTTTTCTTGTGCATAATGCTTTAATCATTTGCTATACCTATAAATACAATTTCACTTAATTTTTCAGTCTTTATTTAAAAATCTGCTTGCTAAATCTTATTTGAACCAGTATGAAGTATTTACCAGTCAGGATTGTGACAGGAAATATTACGTTTTTTTATAATAGTCAGTATTATCATCACCAAGAAGTTAATAGCGGAGTGCTACAATGGTCTGTTTTGGATCCTTTATTGTTTTCGGTTTGAAAAAGTTTTGTCTCAATGTGTCACATTTTAAGTTGATGACACAGCTATTTTATTATTTCTAAGAAAATGCAATAAATGAAATAACCAATATTTTAGGTAAATGTTGTCTACCTATCCTTTAAAATCAAAAATAATGTTATTGGGAAGATGCGCTGTTAGAATTTGATCTAAAAATCGTATTCTTATTAAATTATCTGATGATTAATTTGAACCAACCGAAGGTGCAAACAATTTAGGTTTAATTATTGATACTTCTTCAATGTTTTTCTAATAGGAAATCACGTAGTCAACAAAATAGAATTTGATTATGCGAGGCTTTGGTGTTATTACATATGAATTATTGCGATGCAGTCTGCTACCTTACCTGTCGGATTAATATGTGATGTTCGTGGGCGCCAACAAATTCACTTAAAGTTAAAGATATTGGTTGTATGAAAATTTTATCACGCCAAGTTTTCCACAGCTGCTGTATGTTTCATTAAGATTTTACTTTTTAAAATGGTACGTACCTTTATGGCAAAATTCGATATTGAATTTGAAAATGTCTTAATTCCCACTGGAATCGGCAAATGTCGATCGAAGTTGAGGGTTACTTGAAGCGCGCATCTATTTAGCGCTTTTTTATGCTACTAATATCTTAAAAACGTTTGCTTTTATCAGGAAAATCGTTGAAACGAAAAATGTACCAGATATTTTTTCTGTAAACTACAATATTGCAACTCGTTAATTTTTATTCGTTTTTCCATTTCTTACAATTAAATGATTTGAACTTATTTTTTTCACAGTATCCATGAGAACAAAGTTTTCTTTTAAGTTATTTACTGTACGCTTATTTTACTAAAATTGTACTTAACTTAAATCGTTTTCATTCACAATGTCCTACTACGTCCGTGTCATAACCTAGTAAGAGAATTATTTTTACCCCTATTAGTTTTTGTCATCCGAAGAAGACTTTGGCAGTCAGACAACCACAAGGACACATACTTTACGAATCCGTAGCCCAAATTTAAAAAATGTACAGTTATTTCTTGTAACAATGCTAATTTGACTGTACTGCCAAAAAATGGATGCAAAACTATAACTACAATAAATTTTAGTAAAATTTCTTGGATCATCAACTACATCTACAAATTTTAGGCCAGTTTTGTTACGTGCTCATTAGACAGGGTGTAACTAAATTCATTCATTTTCGACATACATGGTGTCCAAAATTAATCAAAACATGTGCTTTATTTGAAGATGCAATAAACAGTTGAGAGAAGAAAGGGTGCAGTAAATTATTATTATTTATTAAAATATATATTCTATTATTAGCATATTTTTTACTCTAATTTGTATATCTTTATTTCAACTAGTTCAAATAAACGAATTTTCTTTAAGCTTATCAAATTAAGTCAAATAATGTTCTCCGAAACGAAAAATCTAGATATACAAAAGATATTTAACCCCACAGACAAAAATCCTAACTGTTGATATTCCGAGAAATTACGTCGTGGGTTACATACATGCTCAATTAATATTTAATTATACCAGTAATACCTAGTAAACCGTAGTAATAAATAACGCAGCTCCACATAAAAAAGTGGACGGTCTGAAAGACAAGATCATGTTATCTACATGTTTTTACATGTTTTTGGGGTCGCTAAATTCGAATCCGGTATCCGTATAACTCGATCAGATCTGGGTTAAGGTCAGTTCAAGGTCAAATGCAGAGAATCAATTGCCAACAGAGTAAACCAATATTAGGTTTTTGGGGTTGCTGAATTCGAATCTGACGTCCGTTTGACCCGATTAGGTCTACTAAATACTCTCAAGTTCTAAGCTCAAAAGACTTACGTTAAGCATAATGCGTATTAAAATTTGAGTACCAAATAAGATTAAAGAAAGAAAGCTTTAATTCTGAGCTCGTGACTTTTTTCATCTAAATTTAATGACAATGGAGATAGAGATATCAGATTTCTAGTATCTATCACCGTTTTGGCTGTACCCTATAAAGCTATCGAAAATCAACCACCTTGTACAGTTCGTCATAAAACACCATATACTGCTAAAATATCGAAATAATCTCTATAAATCTCCATGATTAAATTTTCGAAAATCTATTAGCGAAGGATAAACACTCTTGAAAAATGAAAATGGAATGGGACAGAAAAGCGTGCGTGTCCATAACCATTAGGTGATAAATGGTAGATAAAGCACACACACTTTCTACTTATTGGCCGTATATGAGGTTTACTTGGAAACAGTAAACATGTACTGACAACAAACTTCGAAAACTTTGGGTACTTTAATGAAAATGAGGATCAATAACTAACATTACCTACTGAAAATTGTAATAGTTACCGGTTAGTAATAATGGATAATAACACTAAAAGCATAGTAATTTAAGTTTTAAATGGCTTGGAGTTACTTGGAAACTTTCTTAGCACAACATAACGTCAAGTATGATAAATATTCAAATTCCAAATAGTTCTGTTTAAGTATACAATCCTTTGTAAATATACTTTACTTCACTATTACCGTTCTATTCAGACAGGGTTTTTCCTGACTCTAACGATACATAGATACTGTTTTGGAGGAGAGGGGCAACCTAAGCGGGTACAGAGTGCCAACTTAAAAAAAATTGGCTTAAAATTTGGGGATATAAAGAGTGATTTTCAAATCTCTTAGCTCTAACTTTCGAAACATTTGTGGAAACTAATTTACACTAGCATACCATAGATCCAAATTTCAAGTCTGTACTGAGAAAATTCCTATACATTTGTGGCTCCTTTGAAAAATTCACCGTGTATATTTTTTTTATTACTTAATATAGCATACTGAAAGTACATGAATCAATGAAAAAAATCGTGCGTTTGGTTTTTTGTCACATTTTTTTTCAATTAACAATGACGTTTTGGTAACATCATTTTTTTATCAGCCTGGCACTTTGCCATTGCGAAATGTAAAATTTACCAAAATTCATCTTGCAGCATTTATATTGTAAAATAAAAAATTCTATTGTAGTAACAATTTTTTTTTGGCATTTTCTCTGAACATTTAGAATTTTTTCCGCATCAAAGTAAATGTTAAATACAGTTTTAAAAAATATAAACGTTGGGGGAGATCTTGATATGTTTTCAGCAGTATTCAGTTACATCAATATGATAATTTTTACTATATAGTTTGGCACATTTTCCTTGATTTAAAGAAAGGCTAATCAAGTCCAAATATGTATATAAAAATCTGGACCTGGACGTGAGAACAACGGCAAAATTTAATTATTTTAAAATCGAAATTAATTTTATTAATTTAAAAATGTTTTCGGAAAATAAGTAAGTACTTTTGACACTTTAATCCTATTTGACATTTTGTTTCAGATTCAAATCGTACAAGGTGTCATTCTGATATCATGGAGGAAGAAAGTCTTGGAAAGACAAATAGATTATGGTGCCAAATTAGGTCAAGTTGTTTTATCTTTAGCTCGTATGGAGTTAAATAATTTCTACAAGAACGTTATACCCGTAGCGGAATATTTCGACCAAAGCAACATGCTCATATCGGTAAGCTGCTGTTACTTATAATTAGGTATAAGGAAAATACTTTACAAATTTTACTTTACCCATTGGGTAAAATCGTCAGGGATAATCGAAGTGTATGGGGTCTCTGGAATACCTCAGGACTAAAAGTAATTTTTTTATTTATTGGGGTATTTTGTGAAGAAATATAATCAAATCAATCAATCAATCAATTAATTATAGTTAAACTAACACTAACACCTAGAGGATCAGTCACGGGTTTATATGAAATTATTTTTACCTTACCAAATATCTCACAATGGAAAAAGTGCACGAATAAAAAATATGTATCACAATGTCTGTTCACTTTAAGATGGTTTATGTTTACGAAAAATTCACATTTATGCTCAATTAAATTAAAAAATACTTTTACAACTACTCCTACTTTGTCTTACAACTTCACCGTCCAAAAATTTTAATTCAATATTTTCAGGGAAAAATATCATCTTCGTGTTTTAAATAAGTTTTTCTGAGCATTTCTAGTAACAAAATTATTACACTCTATATAAAGTTACTCCTAAATTGACATAAATGCACAGTAAATATCATTATAAGCTTAATCACAGACAATATAGCTTATCACCACAGACTGCTACTTAAATGCTGGAAATTCGCAACCCGGAATGGATGCAGGGTCTCCTTAGCCGGCTTCCAGCTATAAAATTTAGCGTAGTAACTCTTCTACTTGGTAAAGGCGGCAGTTCCAGCGGTGGCTTTGTTGCCAAATAATAACTGCTAAATAAATTTAATGCTTTCAATTATGTAATAAAAGAGATAAGGAACTTATCTTGTGTTTGGAAATCACATTTGCCTTAAATATTAAATAAAATAAATCAAGTTAGAATTAAAACTATAAATTTACCTAATTAATTATTTATTTTATATCACCTTGGGAAAATTCAAAAACTCGAAATTAATGTTTTTAGATTTGTTTGTCGACTTCCAATATGGTACGATATTAACACCTATGTTTAAAAATTGCATTATACAGGTTGTGTATCCTTAGATGGGTACTGCCTCTTATTGTTGATTTCTTTAGATAGGTAAAATAATTATTGACACAAGTGTTGCATATCATGGATGTCATTGGTAGTGCTCATATTTGTGACACAAGGTGTTCAAAAAAATTAACACAATGTAAAATTGCTGGAATCTCAAGGAGAAATTTATTAAAAAAAAAAAACAACAAATCATCAATCAATACAGAGATAAGATAATGCATTCGCTACTGCTGTTGCAATTTTTGACTAACTTTTTGTTTTTCGACACACTGACTTCGGACCGTTTCCATTTAACGCAGAACGGACAATCAGAACCAGAGTAGTGGGGAGATTTTTTTAATTATTTTTCAATTCAACGCACCGTTTCCAAATTATAAGACCTTTTTTACTGTATCACCTCACACACCTCTGAGTCTTTCCGAAATTTATTTTCCACATACGGACTTCGGACCTTTTCCATTCAACGGAGAACTGACACACAGAACCAGGGGCGTGGGGAGAATTTTTCAATTATTTTTTCGATTTAACGCACCGTTTCCGAGTTATACGGCCTTTTTACTATAACACGACATACCTCTTGTTTCCAAAATTTATTTTCGACATACGGACTTCGGACCTTTTGCATTCAACGCAGAAGGAACATACAGAACCCGGGAGGGAGGGGTTGACATTTTTCAATTATTTTTTCGATTCAACGCACCGTTTCCGAGTTATAAACACTTTTTTATCCTATGATGTCACACACCATTGCTCCCGATTTTTTTTTTTTAGACATGCGGGTTTTGACGTTTTTCACTGGTTCACCATGGGAGATTTATTTGTTCACCATGGGAGATTTTTTGATACTTAAGAGTCTAAGCAAATACTGTTTTTTTTTCTTTCATATATTGTGACACCCCGCTCTGCGTCACCCACCGAGTGCTCTACTCAGAACCAAGGGGAAATTTGTTTATATTTCCAGCCATTTCCGAGTTACGAGCAAAAACCATTTTTTTTTCTTATACTGTGTGACATCATAGATCGATAACGAAGGCTTAACAAGGCCACGCGCTCTACCCCACGTTCCCTCCCTAGGTGTCCTGAAATTGCTGGGGAGACTCCTGAAGACAGCAGAGAGAGAGAGAGAGAGAAAGGCTCTCTATGAGGACAGAGCCACTCTATCTCTATCGCACACTATAACTCTATCTCTCTCGCACACAATCAGACAAAAACGACAGAAACGAACCTTCTTTTAAAAATACATGGGATTTATCATTATTAGAATAACCCATTTTAATTTAAAAAATTAAAAAAATTACAATGGGTTATTCTGATGACGAAAAATAAAACATAATTAACTGTATTATTCAAATAACAATAATGTGCAAAAGTTCTTCAGGAATATTGGCAAATTTATTTTGGAGGAAGAATCCCGTCAACGAACACTAAAAAATATTATTAGAAACCTTAGGTGGCCAGAAAACAGCCCCGATCTCATTGTCAGTCCTTTAGACATATTTTTTTTACCTGAAAATTTGCAAGTATTGAAAAAAAAATACAGGACGAAATGCTTGATAATTTTGAATTTGTTTTTGAAGCAATTAATAGTAAATTGAAACATATTTTCAACTGTATCATCACAATCACTTGCATGTTGATTTGTAAAAATTGTAGGTATATTAATGTTATTTCGTTTTTAGTTATTCTCCTTATGTTGTTGTAAAGGTTAGTTATAAAAAGCGTTGTTTGTTATTTTCATAAGGATGAATTTTAATTTTTTTTAATGATTTTTTTTATTTTAAACATATATATTTTATGCCAGTAAATTTTGATGTCAAATGAAATAAAGGAAAAGTCGTACATTTGTATTTAAAGTTTCTTTCTATCTTTAATTATTAAACCTATAAGTGGATGTCAAAATACAAAAAAAAACCTGTACCTACATTCCGCGACGTACTAATAACCCACCTTGTATATTAAATAAATTTATCGTCATCATCAAATATTAAAAAAATTATATTACAAGCTGTTTAAAATATTATTACGAATTTTGTTTATTTGGAAATATATTTTCTGCAGTATTTCAATACCAAAAAATGAAAATAGTAGGTAGCTAATTAACGAAATTATGATTAAATAACTTAATTGTAACACCACTGCAGAATATCATATGATACATACATAGATATTCGTTGATTCTTTAAAAACATTTCTATCAATACCTACATCATACATTTAAGTAAATACAGTAACGCAAAAAACAGATATTGATAAGAAAGTGTACAAAAGAAATCCGTAAGTACGCCTGGCAACATTACCAAAGACTTGTTTATATGTTGCTAGGATACGGGTAGGTATGCGGGCCGCTGCATTTGATTCTTCCTAAAATTCTGTTGGTGGTGTACTCTACCGGCAATTCAGAAATTTAAAACTGCCGGCCTATTCCAGTAGCGGTCTGTGGCGAGAGCTATTTTGTCTGTGGCTTAATACATAACACCAAAAAATTTTATTGAAGAACAGAGCACTTTTTTCTAAACTTTGACATAATTTTAAAAAATATTATCACCACCGCGACTTAAATTTAAAAATCGAGACTTGATAATATATTTAATGAATAACTTTTATATAGTATCTAATACTTAACTTTCTAATCAGTTTAAAATATATAAGTTATTTTACACAGAAATGTCGTAGCCAAAGTTCTTTATCTAATGACAGGTGGGAATGAATCTAGAGTTAAAGAACATTTTTTTATATTTTAACGCAACACCATATTATTTACTATATACTTCGTAAAATATTTAGGATCAAAATATATACAGTTCATTTGAATACGCTTAAATTAGTAAGATATACGGCAGCAGTTTTTTCATATTGTGAATTTAAAAGAAGTGAACAAATTTTTGCATTAGATCTGAGATATGCATGTTAGAATAACTGCTAACGACGTGGCGTGATTTCGAGAAAGCTTAGGAAGTAAGTCAGGAAGTAACTACTATAAAGCAGTAAACGTACGAAACAGGTTGTTGTTTTATATGAAATGTTATAATTTATTGTTTATTTCCTATATCAGACATGTTTCATTTAGAACTACTTTGGAAAAAATTAACTGTTTGGAAGATTTTTATGTTATATATTTTTATTACGATATTTCTATTTTAACTGGAAATTGCTTTAATTTTTTAAGCTATCATATTCAAAACTTTATTTTTGTTATTTCTGACACTGCCAATTATTAATATGACGTATTTCTTTCCTTTTTTTATACACTGTCCTACAGGAGAACAGGAGGGTGAAGAGAAAACAAAATCACAGTAGACACATTGAAATAGTAAATGAGGGGTCCAAAGCAAAAACGAGGTATATTCATTTTAAATAATTTTACAGGAAAATAAAAAAACGTTTTAAAAATTAGTTGGTCTTTAAAATTTACTTTTCTGGGTATATCTCATTTAAACATTCAATATTAAAGATGCCTCCACATTACTTTTTTATTTTATTTTTTTCAAAATATCCTCAAAAAAGGATATAGAAAAATGATCTTCCCGCACAGGATTCGCATGTATTTCTGAATAAAATTTGTGTTAAGTGGTGTAAGCTTTATTTTTGGTTGAAATAAAATGTTACTTAGTAATAAATAATAAAATTACATAAACTAATTTTCGATATGCTATCGGATTCATATTCTGAAAGTTTCGGTAGCCGAAATTTCAGGAGTACCTAATATGATTTCTTTTTATTTCATTATAAAATGACTTATTAGCTAGAGGCACATACTTTTTTGCTAGGCTCAAGTTTATTTGGTTTTAGTAAACGTTTTCTTGAATATAAAACTTTATCGTTTTTGGGAGAGGGAGAAATGTTTTTCAAGTTCAAACATCTCAAACATAGGAACATATACTTTTTGACTTCGTAATACACCTGGCATTTCTTCTAAATCATATTTAAAAATCCTGTACTTAGATATTGCGAATTTGATTTTATTTTGGTTCACAGGTTTCTTAAATTGAGTAGCAACACTCTTCATAACCTAAGTCAACCCACAAAACGTGAACAAGTAGAGTGTAAGAATCGGGTATCTCCCGAAGATGCCTAGTTCTTGCGTGGAAACTTTACACTGCAAAAGCAGGGTATCTGATTCTTGCACTAGCTTAATAGTCAGGTATATGTCATAAAAGCATTTACTATACTTAAAAATAAGGCACATACCTGCGGCTTACACAGTTTGAAAAGCGAATTTTTGTACACACGTTCCGCTAAAAATATAAATTTTCGTAAAAAGTGGAGATACCCGTTGGTAGATTTGTCAAATGTATTATCAATATAACAGGGTATACACCCTAATTAAAAAAATAATAACTCGAAAACGATTTCTTTTTCGAATAAAATGAAACAAACTTTTTTCTTTCGAATACCATTTTGAATTAAATGAACATATCGAATTTTCAAAATACGCATAATATCGAAATTATGAGGTTCTTAGTGATGACAATAATTGAAATAATAAATGGAATGCCGTACACTCGTTTATGTTTCTAAATTCCTTCTATTTCTATTGCCAGTTCTTGATACTTCTCTTTCTCTTTTGAGTATTTTTTTTAATTATATTTTGGTTTGATACTGTTGTGTTAATTATGCAAGTGATATTTTCCTTTTTCTCCTGAAATGTCATACCGGTTTGGTAAGCGCAGTTGTTTTTTGAGTGTAATATAATTTATAATATTTATTCTCTATTTATTGTTTGTGGTGTGTATGGAATAATGGATCTGTATCTTTATGCAGTTGGTACTGTATAATTTTAGCTGTGCTTATTTGTATACTTAACACTTGCTAATAGTTGCAACACGATATTATGTATATGAAAGATAGCCTCGGGAAATAAATGGCACTTTCTACAGGGTGATTAATTAATAATGGGACAGAGCTTAAGGGCATGTTGCTGACCTCAAAATAGAGCGATTAAGCCAAATATGCCTTATCCGATTGTACCTTTTCGATCTACAGGGTGTTAAAGTTGCAAAAATACTTTCGATTTTTTTAAATATCTTGAGCATCTTTGAACGGATTGTCTTGAAAGTTTGTTCACCTATGTTTTCTGAGGTGGTAATTACGGAAATGGTAACTATTTTGCAATCACATCTAGGATGCGCTAGTTGTAGTGTTCCGTCGGAGTAAACATATGTCAAACTTTTTTGTCCTTCAAAAATCTGAATTTCCAATAAGAAATTATTAAACTACGTTCAATTCTAAATAAAAAAGATATACCTGTTAAAAATCGATAAACTTAACCGTTTTCGAAATAAGAACGATTTACTATTTCTTTACAAAATTATTTGTTTGAACGTACGCCTTTAAATAAGATGACTTAATTACGAATTAAGACAAACACAGTAACAACTGAAAATTTTATTATGCTTAAGTCTAATTACAAAAGATTCTCAAAGTGGCGACCATTGTTTTCAATACATTTTTTTATTCTCTCGTTAAAATTTTGTCTGACACTGAATAGACTTCTTTGTTGGTCTCTGATAATGTTAACAGATTCTTGTATTTTTGCCCACAGCTCTTCTCGAGTATGTATAACATCTTTATAAACTAAAGATTTAACGTTACCCCAGAAATAAAAATCTAGGGGATTTAAATCAGGGCTACGCGCAGGCCAAGGCACTTCGCTGCCGCGACCAATCCAACGGTTTCGAAAACTTATATCAAGATATTCTCTTACTGGTCGGGAGTAATGTGCGGGAGCACCATCATGCATAAACCAAAAGGTTTGCCGTAAATTTAAGGGGATATTTTCAAGAACGAGTGGCAAGTCATTTGTTAAAAAATTTAAATAATTTTCCCCATTAAGTGGACGGGGTAACACAAATGGTCCCAAAATGTTATCGGAAAGTATTCCACACCAAATATTTATTGAGAATTCATGCTGAAAATGTTGTTCTCGTGGCAAGTGAGGATTTTCCAGTTCCCAGGAATGGCTATTTTTCCAATTAAATACACCGCGCCGGGTAAATGTAGCTTCGTTCGTAAACAATATTTTATTATAAAATGTAGGGTCAGCATTTTGTTGCCGTCGAAGAAACTGTGCGAACCGAAATCTACCAGGATCTTGTGGTATCAACTGTTGAACCGGACGAAAATGGTAAGGATACAATTTTTCTTTGTGGAGTATTTTGAAGGTGGAAGGCTGACTTGCACCAGTAGCTGATGAAATTCGGCGTGTGCTTGTTTGCGTGTTTTCGGCAATTCGCACTAAAACATCCTCTTCTTGCTCCGCCGCTAATACTTTAGGCCTTCCAACGTCTCGTTTAGGGCGAAATGATCCCGTTTCTCCTAATCTGTCGTACAACGTCTTGAAAAGCTTGTGGTTAGGTTGTCTGTTATTTGGATATAACTCCAAGTACGTCGCTGCTGCATGACGACCACAATAATTTTCTTGGGCATACACACATACCATGTTTCTCATTTCAACAAACGAATAATCATTATGACGCGGCATTTTAATGAAAAAAATCACAAACGAAGAAGAACTAAACTGTCTAGTATTTATAAGTTGCTTAGAATTGACATAAATAATACATGACATTTCATTGACAGCGGCCTACTTCATTTAAGTCATCTTATTTAAAGGCGTACGTTCAAACAAATAATTTTGTAAAGAAATAGTAAATCGTTCTTATTTCGAAAACGGTTAAGTTTATCGATTTTTAACAGGTATGTCTTTTTTCTTTAGAATTGAACGTAGTTTAATAATTTCTTATTGGAAATTTAGATTTTTGAAGGACAAAAAAGTTTGACATATGTTTACTCCGACGGAACACTACAACTAGCGCATCCTAGATGTGATTGCAAAATAGTTACCATTTCCGTAATTACCACCTCAGAAAACATAGGTGTACAAACTTTCAAGACAATCCGTTCGAAGATGCTCAAAATATTTAAAAAAATCGAAAATATTTTTTTTACTTTAACACCCTCTAGATCGAAAAGGAGCAACATTCGGATAAGGCATATTTAGCTTAATCGCTCTATTTTGAAGTCAGCAACATGCCCTTAAGTTCTGTCCCATTATTAATTAATCACCCTGTATATTATTTACCAATTGTGATTGAGAAGTCCTTTTTAAGAATATGCTTTTCATGAGTATTTGTGGTTATGACTTGGTCTCGAATTGTTAGAACAATTTCAGGGTATATATAACTGCACTTTCTGTAGCAATTTGTATGTATGTTCTCTATTTATTTGTTCCTAATTGACTATAATAATGTCAATATGTTTACCATTCTATTGGAGAGGAAACAACCGAAGACTAGAGAGTGTTTTGTATCGATAGATTTGGAGGTGTGCAATGTTTATTGTACTGTGGTTCTCTGTAATGGGTGAATTTTTATTATGGAAATAAGATTTTTTTATATTCATTGTCCATCGTTAGCCTCTGCGTATTCCTTCAGGTCTTTCTCTTCATCTTCTTCTTGAAAGATTTCTTTGTCAAAGGAAACAAAAAAACGTTATCAGAGTAAATGGGATGCGCATATGCAATGGCATATGCGCATCCCATATGCGTAATTTTGAGGTTCTTAGTAAAAATATTTCCCAATAATAAATATATTTTTAAGTTTAACATCTTGTATATCGAAAACCAATTTCTTTAGATCCTTGGATTTAAGTTATTTGTTTACAAATAACTAGGAATTAATATCAAATCGCTACGACAGACTTAGTAAGAACTAACTTCAATGACATGATACAGAAGTTTCAAGAAACATTTCTAGAATTCAAAGAAATTAATAATTTCAGCATTAACAATTAATTTAAGAAAATAAGAAGGGACTCTTCTAATTTTGTGCTCTACACCCATTTATTACTAGAAACTTACAAATATATTATTCATGTGCGTTGGAATCGACATCAATACAGACAAATGTTTTATAAGAATATGACGACGGTACACATTACATTTAAATCATTTACATTGGAAACTTTTCTTACTAGAGTCGGCTATAGAATTAACGGCACGATATGGGAATAGAATAACAAGTTAAGAAAAAAAACGTATTGATCATTTGGATACGTCTGTACATGGAAAGTCTGTTCAAATGGACTCGTTTATTTAAAAAAACTTATATAATCTAGATCTTACTGATTTAATAAGTTTTACTGAAACTTAATTGCCACCATGATGGAAATAAAATTACTGTTCCAAACAACATAATTATTGGTCACGTGGCTTGTAATCATTTATAAAGTAAATAATTATTTTTTAGATAAATGGTGAAAGAGCGCCAGCAGAGGTATATAAAGATTTCAAGAGTTCGGTTTTAAGGATATTGGGAATGCAGGATAATCCACCTGTGTTCAGCAATGGAAAAGTTGCACCCATTCCTGTAGATGTTGTCACAACCGACCTTCCGGCAGTGGTATGTATTGCTTTATATAGATATGAACATTTTTTTAATTAATATACTTAAATCTAATATTCAGAAGTATATAAAATATAGAACAATTTCAGTTTTTTACATCGTTCTAAATAAGGTGTTGTAAGTTGTTATTTCAGTAATTAAAACTGAAAATATTATACCAAAGGGTTGCCCTTAAAAAATTAATAATCAAAATTGATTTATCTTTCAGTTTGGTCATTATATAGGGTGATTCAGAACTTCAGTACATAAAAAAAAATTTTTTTGGATGTACAGAGGAAAATACAATTTTGTAAAAAAAATCAAAAAGGGCAGTTCGAAAATGATACACTTCTGCACGACACTGGAAACTGGTCCACTGTAAAACCTTAGCTTACACAAGGCGAAGTGTAATAAAAAATTAACGGACAAAAACTTGAAAGAATTTCGCAATGAAAGAAATAAATAGAATTTTATAACACCTATTTTCTATCAGCAAATCCAACTGCTTTTGCCGCTATTGTTCAAAATTTTGTCCACCGACGTATAAACACACTTGGGCCCGTCTTACCCAGATTCTACGAACTAATACAAATGTTGTCTTGCTTCACCATAAATTAAAACGATATCCATCAACTCCGAGTTGCTATACACTTTGACACTAATTACTAAAAAACTATTGTAAACACTATCACAAAGACGTTAACACTAATTGTAAAATCGGATTTCAGTATTCGGAGTCGCTGGGGCCACGTGGCTTTCTAGATACATTGCGTAAAGCGCACAACGGGAATGACGCTAGAGACTACAGTTATCCAGCGATGTAATAGTTGAAAGTACTACAACTTCAATAATTTTTTTCTCGGAAACTATAATGATTTTACAAAAAATTTTCTTTCTCTCTTGTTTTTCGAAAAAAAGCCTGATTTTCGAGTAAAACTTAAAAAACGAACTGAAAACACCGGACCTCAACCCATTGGATTTGTTATTGTGGGGTGCTGTTCAACGGCAGGTATACAGTGAACAAATTAATACACTTGAGCAGTTAGAAGGAAGAATAAATAATTCTTCTCATCAGATTCAAGCAACAATAAACCTCCAACAAATTGCATTTTCGTTACTAAAAAGTTGTCGCGCCTGTGTTCGTGGAAATGGGGGTATTTTTGAGCATTTACTCAAATAAAATCAGTAAAATGATGACTAATGTTATTAATTTATTTATTCGGTTAAATAACCGAATGGTTAGTGTTTGTCACTTTAAGTAAAACTTCAATTCGTTTTTTAAGTTTTACTCAAAAATCAGTCTTTTTTCGAAAAATGTAAAAGGGTAGTAATTTGTAGAAAATGGAAAGACGAATCCGAAAATATTATGACCGTAAAGCAGTGGCGTACTATTTTATTTAGAAAAATATGTCACCGATATGTACCTCCGCCACTGAGGTATCTAAATTTTAGAAAAAGGCCTCAGATTTTGGACAATGTTTACATAAATGTATGAGCCCAATTTTAAATTATTTCACTTACTAGTTTTTAAATTATTTAAAAAAATTAAAAATATTTTTAAAGTTTAACACCATGTATCTTTTTATCGAAGCTTCCTACACCAAAGAATACAAAGTTTCATTTATAGTCACCGTTTGTGCATCACCCTGTATATTGATTTCCTGATCATATAATTATTCCGGAATTTATTTATTTACTGCGATATTGGTCTATAAAATATTTTTTAAGTATTTTTCTTCCAATTTGTTTTATTACGATCGTTTTGGGTTTACCCCGAGTTATTTATTTTATTAAGCAATGTCCCAGTAAATAAATAATTTCAGTTACAAATTTAGGTAAGGCCTGTAACATTTTACGTAAATAAAATTGAACTCGGTCCAAACTGGTTTCTTTTTACCTCAGGAAGCCTATCCTATCTAGTATAGCCTATCCTATATCAGACACCCACTGTCCTATGTGTTTGATAAAGGGTGGGATAAATTTAATTGAATATAACTCACAAATGACTTCAACAGGCTGCTCCTCCTATACCTCAAGTACCTTCAGAGCACTCTAGATCGGAGCGTAGGACGGCGTCTCCACTACGGCCACAAACACAAGTCATTTCCGTTCACGCAACATCACAACCCAACTATAATTCACCCATAAAGGCAGGTTACCCTCCAGTTCTCTGGGTCATAGGAGGACCGGGCAGCAATAAGGCCGCCTTATGTTCAGCAGCGGCAATAGACACGGGGTGGACCCATATCAGCCTTGGTAAGCTTCTACGCGCTGCGGCAGAACCCCCTGACCCAAGACACAATTCAGAGGTGTCGAAATTGAGGGACTGTATCAGCAACGGCGAGATGGTGCCCCAGGAGATCGTGATGAAGTATGTGGAGTCCCACATAGCGGATAATATGGACAAAGAAGGCATAATCCTTGATGGATTCCCCAGGGATATGCTGCAAGCTACAGAATTTGAAAATAAGGTAGGAATGATTGATGTAATTAGGGCATTCATTAATATCTAATGTAGATTGGGGAATGACTGACTATACATAATGAAAGCCACTTTACCATGTAAAATTTAATTGTTTATTTATTTTATTATAATATATTCCAAAAACAGAAATGCAGGAGATGTGCAATAGAGTGGTCTACCATAAGTATCACGCTCTATTTTCTGCGTTATTTGTCGAGCGTACGGAAAAAAGTATAACGATATAAGTTGTAAGAATTTTTTTATAGATTTTATTGTACTTAATATATGAAAATAATTGAATGTCGGTTCTAACAGTAGGAGATGGCATGCGAAGCTATGACATAAACATTCACTGTATTAGATGTTGCAGTTTGCAGCCTTAGCTGATATTGGGTTCATGTAGAGTCCAACGGAGCAACTGCATGTGTAGTCCAGTTGGTAGAGGTTCGTCCTGTGTCAAACCTTGATAACTCGGAAATAACTACACAGGCCTACTTTAAATGATGAGTACAATAACAGGCTAATTTGCTGACAAAGTATTTTATCAGGAAAAAAAGTTATTAACAATTTAATAGTGAAAAAAAATTTTTTAGTAGTTTTCTTTAAATAACTCAGCGGGATGACTTTGTACGAAAAAATGCTTAGGACGTGATTTTATTCGTAATAAAAATAGCTACAAAATGGCGGTGGTCCGATTACGAAATTTGTAATAACAAAGCCGTGAGATTGAAAAAACGGTATAAAACGTCAATTTTTTAAAGTTGCTGTAAAAATGTCAATTATAAACAAAAAGTGATAAAACTTTCGAAAACTATAGTTCAATATATATACAATAATGACGCTAAAGCCGAAAATCAGGAGAGCAAAACTTTTTGTTCTATAAGGTGTTATACATTCATCGGCATCTGAAACTCGAAACTTTGCCAAATTTGTTCGAAGCTTTGCTGACACTTGAAATTTGGTACACACATAGTGTAAATATGCAGAAACCAAAAGCAATTTGCAAAATTCAAGTATCTTCATTTTTGCAGTTTTGGTAAGGTTTTATACGTCACCCTAGTTTTATACGTCACCGTTTTTTTAATTTTTGGACGTATATTTATGTATATTTATAAAATATTCCATTACGGTAGATTAGCCAGCATAATTACCTACAATTTAAAAAAATATATATTTTCATCGTTTAGATCCTAAGCTACTTAACATTTTGCGCCTGTTAGCCGTAGTCGTACATTATTCAACATATTAACATAAAACAAAATCGTACGTGTGGGGTAAACCTTTAACTTTAAGTAAACAATTGTTTAAATTTACTGTTGCATATTTCTAATAGTATACAAGCGCCGAAGAGCGGAGCTCGCGCTCGAAAATGAAAAGTTAAAGGTTTACCCCACACGTACGATTTTGTTTTATGTTAATATGTTGAATAATGTACGACTACGGCTAACAGGCGCAAAATGTTAAGTAGCTTAGGATCTAAACGATGAAAATATATATTTTTTTAAATTGTAGGTAATTATGCTGGCTAATCTACCGTAATGGAATATTTTATAAATATACATAAATATACGTCCAAAAATTAAAAAAACGGTGACGTATAAAACTAGGGTGACGTATAAAACCTTACCAAAACTGCAAAAATGAAGATACTTGAATTTTGCAAATTGCTTTTGGTTTCTGCATATTTACACTATGTGTGTACCAAATTTCAAGTGTCAGCAAAGCTTCGAACAAATTTGGCAAAGTTTCGAGTTTCAGATGCCGATGAATGTATAACACCTTATAGAACAAAAAGTTTTGCTCTCCTGATTTTCGGCTTTAGCGTCATTATTGTATATATATTGAACTATAGTTTTCGAAAGTTTTATCACTTTTTGTTTATAATTGACATTTTTACAGCAACTTAAAAAAATTGGCGTTTTATACCGTTTTTTCAATCTCACGGCTTTGTTATTGCAAATTTCGTAATCGGACCACCGCCATTTTGTAGCTATTTTTATTACGAACAAAATCACGTCCTAAGCATTTTTTCGTACAAAGTCATCCCGCGAGTTATTTAAAGAAAACTACTAAACAAATTTTTTTTCACTATTAAATTGTTAATAATTTTTTTCCTGATAAAATACTTTGTCAGCAAATTAGCCTGTTATTGTACTCATCATTTAAAGTATTCCTGTGTAGTTATTTCCGAGTTATCAAGGAAATATCACCAACAGTAACTTTTCGGCCTCTGCCGACTGGACTAATGACATAATTTCACATGTCGTGCGTGCATCCGAAATTCCATCCACCTTTCGAATTTTTCCTAACAATAAATAGATTCATCGCTCTCGAGATGAACTGTAACATTCAAAGGACCAAAATAGACAGTCGAGGATCTGGGATGATTGAGACAAATTTCATCATACTTTCGATTTTCAATTTTTACCAATCAAACAGCTCGAGGACCGGTTCATGTTCACCAGAGACAACCTCCTCCCCCAGACCACTAAACCGACAGTTAGGGCGAGGATAACACTATCTTAAAATTTACTCTTAACTTTTGGATCCAGCCGTCAATGTTTCATGATGTCATCAAAATGAATGGTCAGATATCCTTACCTGAGAACCCAAAAATCAGTTAATCGTTCAAGTGCCCGCAACGGAAGGCGAATTGCTTGTCGGGAATGACTTGCAATTTGACCGTGCTCTCTGGCAATCAAATTTCTAGCATCTGTGGCACTGGGGTGCCAATTCGATTATCGCCTTTTGTCGTTCTACTTTTACGATGAGAGAACGGCATCATTAGACCTACAACAGAGTTACTTGGTTCTGGAGTATTTGCACTACTAGGGCTAGTGACATAGTATACAGGGTGTATCTTAAATGATTGACATGTACTGCAAATAAAAAAAGAAGCTTCTAATGCATTGAGTAACAGTACCATATTAAATCTACTGCATGAGTTTGACGAAAACCCACATCCTTCAAGTCGACAAGCAACTTCAGCATTGAATGTTTTCCATACCTCGATTATTTCCGTAAAAATAAAATAAAATGCATCCCTATAAACTCAGAAGCTTAATCCAACTAGAAAATGTTTTGGTTTCTGATGAGACCACTTTTATTCTTCACGGCCATGTTAATCGTCAAAACTTTAGCTACTGGTCTAATGAAAATCCGCATTGGGTGAGATAATTACATACAGGGTGGGCCACCAGTAACGCCTCGGTCGCTAGTGACCAAACGGCAAATGTTACAGAAACCTGTTTAGGTGGGTATGTGTAGGTTGATTACGGCTATATTTTAAAAATATTTTGAAATATACAGGGTGTCCAGGAAAAACGTACCATATCAAAGTTATGTATTTTTAAATGGAACACCCTGTATTTTACTGCATTTTTGAAAGCACCGTAAAAAAATAGGTGAACTTTATTAAAGGTTCTGCATACCTAGGACTTATAGTTTGTGAGATATTTCAATTTTAGTGAAAATGCAAGCATAGCGTAGAAATTTAATATTAGCAATAAAAAAATAATTTTAAGGAAGCAGCTTTGGAGGGTCTATTGTAGATCCTTGAAGTTATAAATTGTTATATTTGTCGTCA